CTTGTCAGTAGCCCATTGTTTTTTATTTGGTTGTCGTAATGCTAACTGTTGAAGTTTAGTTGGTTCTATATAAGGCTCTTCTCCAATTAGCATACGTGGATAAGATTTATCATGACAAAGACCTGATTTAAATCTAAAGAAAAATAAATGAAAGGAAAAAATTGATTGATATATAATTAATATTAGAAAATATACGTGTCATCATGAATTCGATCAACCCATTCTTGAAGTTTCAATTCTTCACGCATTTTTTCTGTTGCAAAATAATCTGTTTCACATCGTAATGATGGTTTTAATGGACGATAACGTTGATAACGAACGTCTTCCGGTGCACGAAAAGGACCCTGATTAATTTTTAATATGTTAAAATTCATAGAAAATAAAAAGAAAAAAAATGAGACATACTTGTGGTTTCGATTTGAGTGGTGGTAAAATTTTTGTTAATGTTGCTATATCTTGATCTTTCTTACTCTTAATTGGTTTCATTGTTGTTGTTGTTGTTGGCAGTTCAAATTTTGTAGTTCTCAAAATAATTTCCATTTCTTTTGGAGCTCTATGTTAAATAATTTCTTTCATAATCATAATAGATTAAAATAAAAATAAATATATTTTACTCTAAATATTTTGAATTGTATATGCCAGGTACAACTTTAGTACTAACTAAATAATGTGTTCTTTTAGCTTCTTCTTCTAATTTTGCAATATTTGCTTGTCGTTGTTGTTCAAGTTGTTTTTGGTCTAAATATTCTCGATATTCACGTAATTGGGTTCTAATTTTAAAAAAAAAGAAAAATCTTTTTATAAGGTATCTGAAAAAAAGAAAATAGTTTCTACTACCTAATTTGTTCATTCTTTTGTTCAAGTCCAGTAAGATACCGTTTTCGACTGTAAAAATCAAGTACATATTTACGTACATAAAATCCACGCCATATTTTTTGAATCTAAATGAATAAGGAAAAAAAAAGTTTTCTTTGATAAAACGAAAAAAAATAATCATACTTTTACTGCATTATCATCATAATATTTTAATCGAAGTTGAAGAACATGTTCCTAAATAATTAAATTAATAGAAAATTTAACAAAATTTTTATTATTTTACTTTAAGTTTTTGTCGAAATAATTGTTGAGCTTTATATATTCGCCACCGTGTTTGAATAAGAGTCGCACATCGATTTAAATATCTGTAAATATAAATTTAATGTTTAAAATAAAAATAAAAATTTTCATAACTAACTTAATATGAGATCGAGCAACATAACCTCGCCACGCTGATTGAACAATTACACTAGCTCTATTTTCATATTCTCGAACATATTCAGCTTCTCTAAAAATTTTATAGAATAAATATTCAAATAAAATAATAAATAAATAACTAGTACTTTGCTAAATGTTCGAGTTCAACAAGAATTTGATCAGCATTACGACGTAATTCCAAAAAAGCGGCCATCTAATCGAATGGCGTACTTATTGTTTCTCAAATTATTCTAATTTAGAGTATTTTGCAATTCAATTATCTAATATATTACCATTAAGAAAATTTTGTGAAGAATGTTTTTGAGTATAAAAATTTCAATGAAACCATTTCATAATCGGTTGTCAAGATATTAACATGAAAAATAAACATAGGAATGTTTTTTTTTCATTAGATGTCGCTTCAATTTTATATGGACAAGATTTATTTGTATTATTTTATTTTTGCTGATGCATATCTAGTTTAACTTGATAATTTAATATTGTATGTTCTAAATTAATTTTCATTCATTTATTAAATACGTTTTTGATTTGTTATACAAAATGATCCAATCATATTTGGCACAAAAGATAATTAATTGATTTTATCTTTTAAACTGATTTTTCACACGTGTTTCTGCGCTATTTTTTTGGTAGAATTATGACTCGTGAACGACCATCATACGTATCGGTATGTTTGCATTCGCTTATTCTCAATACAAATCTATCTTTAACTTCATCTAGAATATATTATATTCTGGCTGATTTATACCTTCGTTTTATATTATTATTATCATTAATTTCTTATGATGTGCAACTTTTGTGTAATTACTATTCAACAAATTTAAAACTTGGTATTTATCATTAATCAACATAATCATCAAAAAAAACCGAATATCGTGTTGGCCCTGTTCATTATTATTTTTGAAGCAAAAGATAAAAATGGTAAAAGCTATTTTTATTGTTCAGCCACATCTTTCAAATTTATCTACTGATGATTTTGATGAAATCATATGTTTAACTATTGTTTATCATACTAATCAGAATTGCACGAATATACTATAAAAAAAAAGCATCAAATAATAAAGTGTATAAAAAGGTTTATTAGCCTTAGAAACCTTATATCAAATTTTCCTAAATCCTTGTACATCGATAAAGAAAATAAAACCTTCAAATGTTTATGAAAAAAAAAATAATAAACTCTTTTGTAGGATCTATTATTCGATGGTTTTTTCATAGCTTGCAGCAATTATATAAAATATGAAATTCATCAAATTCCATAACATATTATCATCAATTAAATCCTTTATTTGACAAAGATAAAATGCATAATAATATTTTTTTAAAAATGTTGATAAAATCGCTCACGAATGACAAGTGTTTTTTTCTGTATAATCACTACTGGTAGTCAGGCTCTAGCAGTACATATAGAAAAATGGAAAAACAGTAACAAATCAAAAATAACCAAAGACAAAAAAAAAAGAATTTGCTTAGATATAGATCAATAAAAGTCTAAATGAAACGGTGAAATGTATAAATAGGCATTAGAAATCTAAAATTAATACATTCGATCCGATTCAATTATATTAGAGAGTAGCTATAACAGATTCATTTTTATGTGCATTCGTCTTTAGACAAATGCACTCGTTGGTTTTTTCATTCTGTGCTAGTCCGTCGTTTTCTTCCTTCTATTTGTTACAGTACATAGACAAGTACGTTATCTCGACGAGCTGTATGATTTCTCAACTTTGTTGTTCTTTTTCTCTCACGTATTGCGCAGTTAGAATGAGATAGAAGAGGTGAAATTTCGACTTCTTTTTCTCTTATCTTCTTTTCTTCGTCGTTTCTTTGACTCTATTCTCTCGTGTGTTTACACACAACTGTTTTTCTTCGAAAACAAAGAAAAAGAAGAAGAGAGAAAGTGGTAGTTATTCGACTATTCCTACGATACTCTATCATATTCTAATTTTATTGCAATCTATTATGTAATTCATTCGGATCATATGACTCCGATTCGAAACATACGCGCCATTGATGCGTTTTGAACTAAATAAACTCCTTTTATGACGTTGAGATATGTATATTTGAGCTGCTTTTAAGATGAATTTTACTACGAGTTATATGCTGATCGGTGAAATTGATGTAGAAGCAGCGATCACTGAGTGGAATGAATGATGTGGACAATGAGTTTGTTCAGATGGGATTTGAATCGTCAAGTTGTCTGGAAAAAAATAGAATCAAATTTGGATGTCGAATTCTAACGAGAAGTATCATGCTACGCAATAAATGATTTCAACAACAGCGAAGGCACAGCAGATGACAGATTACGTTTAATCTCCTGTCTAAGAAAAAAGAAAAAGACAGTGTTTTTCTACTAAGATTTTTGTTAAAATATAATGTGATCCACCGGTGGGTCCTATCGGATCGAATATGCTAATTCAAAATGAAATTTTATCAATATCAATACGTAATCGTGACAGAAAAAAATCCATTTCTTATTGATGAGGAAATATATACTCGTTATGGAGTTCGAATTGATTTCAAAAAGTTTGTAAAACATTTTATTATGCTGATCGAAAACCATTCGAACTAGTTGTTTTATATATTTAAATCAATTAAAATAATCTCAAATTGAATGAAATATTTTTTATAATATTGCAAAATTGCATAAATCAATGTAAATATTAGTTTTTTACAATGTTTTAATCTAGTTATATTAAATTTTGGTTGTTATCAATCAAATTCATCATATTTTTGAGTATATATGAAAGAATATACAAGATTAATAGGTGTAGAATTTCATGGAGCAAGATTAGATTATTGTCATTTAATATCATTACTTATTGTTCATGTAAGTTTTTTAGAAGAAAGAATTAAAAAAATAAATTTTTTTTTTATTGTACAGTATTTAATAGGTTATGCTCGAGAAATAAATCGAAATTTTTATATTTTAAATGTCTTATTTACAATTGATGCAGCACTTGATAATGCATTTGTTAATAGACTTATTATTAATATTCTTGTATACGGTGAATATTTAAAAAAAAAAACAAGCAATTTTAAATTGATGAAATTACTAGTCAATGTCAATATATTAATAGACAAAATATTTGAAACGATAAAATGAATTCAACATTGATATGAACATATTATCAATTGATACTAAATATTATTAGTGCAGCTGTTGTCATACGTTTCAATGAAATCTGTTTTACATGCTCTTGAAATGTTCAAAAAGGATCATATTTGATCAGCTATATCGCAAGTTGAATCTTTGTTACTCGATACATTAGTTATAAAAATTTTTGATTCATCCAACTAACAATACATTGATTAATATAATAATAAAAATGAATCATTCGATTTAAAATGTACTCATGATTATAATTATGATAATCATCCTAAATGAATTTGGATAATAGATGATAATTTACGAGCAAAATTAATTTGGTTATCAAAAGAAAAATGTGAAGAAACATAAGAACATATTAAAGAACAATTATCAAAATATCGTGAAGCATTATTTAAAAATGAATGGAATAATTTACCATGAATTAAAATTAGTAAATAGTTCATTTTGTTGAGATTCATGTTCAACACAAATTTGATCATTAGCAACAATCTTAGGAGTTGTTTATGGTTTCGAACAGTACAATTTACATTTCATATTTGCTTTTATATTTGTATTTTCATTTCTCATCAAGCATCAAATAAATATTAGAATTTTTTTTTCTTTCAGATTTAATTCAAAAAAAAAGAGCAAAGTAAAAATGGCAGCACGTAAAGGAATGAGTCATATTCTTGATGGAATAATGAAATACCGTCGAACATTAAGACCATCGCTCTTAGAGGAATTTAAAAAAGTAGCAACAGGACCTTCTGTAAGAAATTTCCTTTTTTTTTTTTTTTGATTTAATTTTTATTAAAAAATAAAAACAAATTTTAATATTTAGCCTGAAGGTCTTCTATTAACTTGTGTTGATAGTCGTGTTGTTGCATCTCGTATAACTCAAGCTGTACCTGGTCAATTATTTATAGTTCGAAATCCTGGTATTAAATAATTTTTTATTCTAATTGATTTATTTTATGGTAGATATTTTTTTTATTTTTTGAAGGTAATTTAGTTCCTCATCATAATTGTTTTCGAAATCATGTAACTGTTGGAGGTGAATGTGGAGCTCTTGAATTAGCTTGTTCAATAAATAAAGTTCATGTTATTGTTGTTATTGGTCATTCTGATTGTAAAGCAATGAATTTACTTTATTCAATACGTAATGATCTACATTTACCATCAAAAGGTCCACTTGAAGATTGGCTTAGAGTTCATGGACGAGGAACAGTTGAACAATTTAAAAAACTTGAAACGTCTACTGGTTTTGATCGAAAACTTAAATTTGCTGGTGCACAACATTATGAAGATGATTTTGAAGCATATATTGATCCACATAATCAATTTATACCTTCTGATAAATTTTCTCAAGTAAAATTAAATTCTTTTTAATTTAAAAAAAGAAGAAAATAAATTTTGATTTATTTTAGATAAATACATTAGAACAATTGAAAAATTTTCTTTCATATCCATTTTTAAAAGAACGACTTAATCGTAATGAATTAGAAGTACATGCACTTTGGACAGATATATCAAAAGGAGAAGTATATATGTTCTCTTTTAAAGAAAAAACTTTTGTTAAAATTGATGAAACTTCATGTAAAACTCTTGCACTAGAATGCATCTAGTTGTTCAATATCTATATTCATTTTTCCTGTATTTTGTTTATTACATTTTTCAATGAAAAGTACCGATTGTTTTTTCTCAAGAGTTAAGAAACAAAAAAATGACAAGTTGATTTTGGATTATTTGTGTTTTTTTTTTTATTTTATATTTTTTCTTTGTTATTCTGTAAAAATCACATTATGCTAAAAGTAGTATTAGCTGTATGCATTATGTTAATAGTATTAACCTCTTGTATTAAATAAAAATAAAAACTACAAAAGAATTACATTTCGAAAAATTTTCGTACTCAGTGTATCTTTGAAATTAAACTCGAGGGAGATAAAAAAAAATAAATATAAAACTTATATTAATAAAATATTTGTTATGATTGTTTTACCATATCGAATAATGTCTTATCGACTTTACTTCACGCTTAAGAGAAAATAGAATGTGCACTTTCTTATCATACAATGATATGTCGGAGTCTCACCGAATATATTTCGATTTCATTTTTCAATTTGTCTTCACAAGTAGACAAAACAAACTCATTTTGTCTTTTATACTCGATAACTCATAAACAAGTCAAAGACATTCATACAATACATTCAGGTATATATTCATCAATGATTTCTGCTTTGCTTGTTTCTAAAGATTATGTCTTCCTATAAACTATTATTGTTTTGTTCATCAAAATTATTAAAATACGAGTATTCGAATCCAAAATGAATCTCTATTTTTTATTGATTAGTATTCATTTATTGACAATCATTATATGAAAAGTAAATGGTAAAATGACATGAATTATTTTAATACTATTTTAAAGTATGAATTAAACTTTTGTGAATGATTTCATTCCTAAAAGATAGTATTGATTGTATCAATATTTGAAAATTATATAAGAGTAATTCTTTTAAATGATTATTAAAGTCGAATAGAATCAATTTCTCTTTTCTCTGAAACTGATCTATTAGAAAATGCACATCCTATAAACCTAAAAGAGAAACAAATATCTTATATTCATGTTTTATATTGCATATTTCAAGAGCAAATTCATTTGTTATCATTTCCATTAATAAATATTTTCGATGTTTCTCTCTACATTTACGAGGAAACCTCACCAAGTATTTATCGTGGATTCGAAGAAAAGGTGTACCAGTCGATAGAGGTCGACGAGCTAGTCACAATAGTAACAGACATTTTTCCCCATAGGGCTTTCTTATAGAATTTTCAGGTCATATTTCTCCCTAATGAAGCATAACATATAGGTGTCAAATGTACAGATTCGTATGTAGATACTACATCCATTCTTCTCGCGATGTGCATATTATATTGCCTATTTTATTCTACATCGGCTATTTGTTTTTCATGTGTTCTAAATTGTAGTATTAGTGATAAGTGCAAATCTTTCTTTTCATGAACTGTTCGATCATTAAATGTATTTTTCGCACTGTATAATTGCATACGGAGAGAGAAAAAATACGCACAATCAATTTGATATTATCGTTCTTTCTCTGTCTTTCTCTTGATCTGTCGTCTTACAATGTTCATTGGAAAGAAAGTGAACGATGTGTAAAACTAACATGATTGTTATAGTGTGATTAACTTAGGTTGAATATTTCTTTCTTTCTTTTATCTATCATACAGATGACATACATATATATATAAGGTATCTGGCAAGTCACTACAGATAGAAAAATTGAAATATCTCAACAGTGTTTAGACTAAATGAGTTGATTTTTTTTTACTACTGGTAGAGGAATGTTCCTAGTCCATATTCATAAGAATAACGTAGACAAAAACTATTTAAAAATATCACTATTGACTTCGATGAAGCAACATCGTCCTAGGCGAATTTCTGAAAAAATCCTATTTACAATGTGTTTTTTAAAAGTTATCATGAAGAGCAGATTTGAATAAGTTTAGCATATTCTCAGTTCAATTCATGTCAATTAAAATAAGACGTCTTACAGCTTAAAGTTGTTATACACATAAATAGTATTTTTCGAAAGTCGTAAGAGAACAATTTCGTTTTATTGATTTTGAAAGTGATACTTCGAAACAGTTTTTGTCTGCATTATTCTTATGAATATGGACAAGTAACACTCCTCTATCAGTGGTAAAAAATCAACTCATTTGGTTCAAACATCGTTGAGATATTCCAATTTCTCTATTGCTAGTGATTTTCTGGATATCCTATATATTACCTGAAAATTCCATAAGAAAGTTCTAGGGGAAGGGAGGGCGGAGAACATCTGTTACCACTGTGACCAGCTTGTCGAGCCCTATCAATTGGTATATCTTTCCTTCGAATCCGTGATTAACATTTGGCGAGATTCCCTCGTTAGATTTATAATAATAATAATATTTTCCTTGTTTTATAAAAATATGAATATAATCATTTTATTTTATATTCTTTTTTCGTATAGTTTCTACATTGGTTTCGCACAAATGGGTTCAATTCCAACTATTATAATAAGTTGTTCTATAATTTTTCTTGTAATAAACATAGCTGTTATTACTTCTGAAAAAGCAGAATTGAAACAAAATCAAACATCATTCATAAATCCACGTATTAATTGTTATCCGGAAATCGAATCTCCATATTCGAATTATTCAAAAGAATCATGTTTAGCACGAAATTGTTTATATGATGATGAAGCTGATTCATCTGTAATTCAATGTTATTTATCACCTAATTATGGATATATCTTACAAAATTCTACAGAACAAACAAATAATACTTTTAAATTACAATTAAAAAGAAATCAAGCAATAGATAACATGTTTCCAGAACCTATGGAAAATGTTATACTTGAAATTCAATATTATACAAATGATATCATTAGATTTAAATTATATGATGCTGATAAAAAAAGATACGAAGTAAAAATAGAAAAATAACCTATTAGCATAATTCCTTTGGGTTTAAAATATGAAACACGATGTAATTACTGTTGATAATTACAGAAAGATTATTTTATTCTATGGCATGGTCAGCTATTGATCACCCATACATAGGAAGAGTTCGAATTTAGAAGTGAAAAAAGCTGAGTCTACTATTGCATTAAGCGTTCTAGTCACACGAAATTTTTCTTAGAGTGAACAACTCGAACATTTGTGTAAAATATAATAGAGGAATACATGGTCAAACAAGAATCGATTAACAGAAAAAAAAATTCAATTAAATATTAATCGATCGGATACGAGGCACTCTTTTAACTTATAACCTTCGTTCAAACCATCTCTATTTTTGATGAAATTCCATAATGAAACTCACTTATAATGTATTTTACTCTTTTATGTTTCTAATTTTCGCAACTAAAACGGTGTCTCCAGATAGAACTTAACAAACTCTATCAAACACATCCATTTTGAGCATAGCTTGATTTAATATCTCCATATGTTTTCTAGAAACGCTTCGTTACAGAATTTTATTCGTATCCGAATTTTGTGGTATTTTTAGACCATTTACCATTTTGAACTGTTTTTTTTTATCCAGAAGAATTTACATATTTAAAATTAGCATCAAATTCTGAACAAAATGAAGAATTTAATTAAACATAACTTCAACTATTATTTTTCTCGGGTTGAAAAATTGTTTTCGTTAGATTCTAATGAAAAATACACCATTTAATGCAGAATCCGATGCTGGTGACAAATATTTGCACCCTGTTGACTTTTTTGCTTTCATTTTCATCCAAATTGTGATTTCGAAGGAAGAAATTGAAATTCCATAACAAAGGAAATTCTGTAATGAAAAACGATTATCCATTTAAAAAAAGAATGGATTCGGTTGTTTGTTGAGTAACTCGATAATGTTGATAGCTATTGAGCTTGAGTTTTCGCCGTTAGAAAGAGCATGAGTAGAGGGTACAAGTCTACTTGAGAATCAAAATATTTGAAAAATTTTCTAGGATGTTCCAGGGAATTTTTGTTGAAAATTATTGTCTGATTCACTTGACTAGTTGTATTTTCAAGTGGAATTGAAAATCCAATATCTCGAGAAAGAAACATTCTTTTTAGCTAAAACTTTTAAGATATTCTATGGGCACATTTTCAGTTCGAAATTTTGTAATTTCATTCTCGGATAAATACCTAGGAAAGGATTGAAAATTCAGTAAAAATGATCCTCTTTTTTTAAGGAAAGGCCGAAAACACCTAAAAATTTCGGAGTTTATAAAGTAGATATTAGGCTACAATATGGCTAAATTGAAAATACAGCTAATCAAGCGAATCAGACAGTCATTTTCCAGAAAAATTCCTGGAATCCCATAGAAAACTTTTCAAGTGTATTTATTCTCAACTAGACTTGTACCTAATCCTCCAGAAATGTAATAAGAAAGTAATTCATTTATTCTAAGAAGCTGTTATTGATATAAAGTCTTTGATAATATTTCAACAACATCTGTTACGATCGTTGACGGAAAGGGGAGAGGTTGCAAATTTCTACCCTATATACTTTAACATTCCTTTTAGATCGTGTTTCATAAAAAGTTGATTTTAATATTCTTTTAATTCAGGTTCCAATTCCATTAACGCCATCTCCTGGTAAAATTGATTCACCACAATATGAATTTAATTATTCATCAGATAGTACACGTGATAATATTCTTTCATTTTTTATTAAACGTCGTGATGATGCATCAATTTTATTTGATACATCACTTGGAGGTCTTGTTTTAAATAATCAATTTCTTCAAATAATAACACGACTTCAATCATCACATATTTATGGTTTTGGAGAAAATAATCATGATACACTTAAACATAATGTTGATGAAAAACCATCATGGGGAATATTTGCTCGTGATCAAGGTTGATTATTTCATAAAAATTTAACAAAAAAAACATAGATTTTCTTTTTTTTTTTACTTTAGGAACTAATTGGGATATAAATGCTAATCACTACGGTCATCATCCATTTTATATTGTTATGGAACAAACATTAAATGATATGCCATCAGGTCGTATGCATGGTGTTCTTTTACTTAATTCAAATTCTATGGATTATTCATTTGATTCAACACCATCATTAACAATACGTACAATTGGTGGTATATTAGATTTTTTTATTTTTCTTGGTCCAAATCCTGAACAAGTTATTCAACAATATACATGGCTTATTGGACGTTCTTTTTTTCCACCTTATTGGTCACTTGGTTTTCAATTATCACGTTGGGATTATTCAAATTTAACACATATGCAAATGACAAATAAACGTAATCGTGATGCTGGTGTTCCAGTTGATGTACAATATGCTGATATTGATTATATGGATGCTGAAAAAGTTTTTACTATTGATTCAAATAATTATCAAGGTATAAAAGAATATTTTCAAGAATTAAATTCTGAAGGAATTAAAACAATTATTATTTTGGATCCTGGAATGATTGATGATCAAGAATATTATGAACCAACTATTGATGGAATTAAAGAAGATGTTTTTATTAAATGGGATAATGGAAGTTTAGTAAGAGGAACTGTTTGGCCTGGGCCAGTCTTTTTTCCAGGTTAATTAAATAATGATTTTGTTTTTGTTTTTATTAATGAATATATTCTAATTTTCTCTTATAGATTTTTTTACTAAGAGAGCACAAGTTTGGTGGGAAAGATGGATTACAAATTTTCGAGCAGTTAATTTAACTTTTGATGGACTTTGGATTGATATGAATGAACCTGGTTAGTACTTATTTCTTCTGTTTTTATTATATATTCAAATGATTATTTAGCTTTATTTGAAACGAATGATCCTGTACCATGGAATTGGCTGGAAACAGGAAATAATTACACATTAAAATGTCCTGAAAATAAATGGGAAGATCCACCATATCGTACTAAAGCTATATATCGTTGGGATAGAAAAATAAATCGAACAAGTCGTCTTTCTGATCGTACTTTATGTATGTCGGCTCATCAAGGTGAAATTAATTCAAAGACAGGTGAAGCTATATATCGTCATTATGATGTTCATAGGTAATTAAGATTTTCTTTTCAATTAATTTGAATTCATTGTTTGTTTGTTTTTTGTATAGTCTTTATGGATGGAGTCAAACAAAACCAACATTAGATATTATTCAAAAAATAACTAATAAAAGAAGTTTAGTTTTACCTCGTTCAACTTTTGTTGGTTCAGGTCAATGGGCTGGTCATTGGCTTGGAGATAATGAAGCAACATGGCATGAAATGAAACGATCAATAATTGGAATGATAGAATTTAATTGGTTTGGAATTCCATATAATGGAGCTGATATTTGTGGATTTGATAAAACACCAACTGAAGAAATGTGTATTCGGTAAACTAAAAATTTTATTTTTCTTCTTGAAATTAATTTCGATTTTTTTTTCCTAGTTGGATGCAAGTTGGAGCATTTTATCCATTTTCACGAAATGTAAGTTTTTGTCATCATATCAATTAATCTTGAAAAAGTAATATCTAAATTTATTTATTTATTATTAACAATTAGTCATAGAAATATCGAAAGAAAAAATATCATAAGTAATAAATAGCCTATAAAGAATGGAACACTTTGATTTTGATCTTTTGAAGACAGCATACTAATCTCATTCAATAGCGAATTTATCGACTTTGTTCTTGAAATAAATTTCTTCTGCCACAGAAAAACCGAAACAATTGACAACTACACAGTCATTAAACTGCAACTATTACAAAACAAAACAATCATTAAATATATATTTAAATAACAGTTTTGTCGAAATTCGAAATATACTGCAAGCTACACCATGAAATGTTGCATCTAGCAATGTTAGAGAGAACAACTAGAAGAATAATTTTTCAAGCCAGAATTAGAAAACAACGCAAAAAAGATTCTTTCTGACAGCTCTATATCGTTAGGAACAATCTAAAGATTTTCGTTTTTTGGTTTACATGTTACATCATTTTGTTCAGAATTAAGTTCTGCATCCGATGATATAATGATAAACCGTTTCATAGAGTATGCTACGTTTTGAAAACACAAGTTTCGAAAGTATATTCAAAACAAAATACCACTAGGAGGTTTTAGTTCCGAGCCTCTTTTGCACCTGAACGATACCATCAAAAGCCTTGTGGAGATCTTGAGAGCATAGAGTATAAAATTCTCCATCTATTGATACTAAATACTTTACATTTAGTACTGAATTTAATGAGCACAAGGTTTCACAAATCATTAGATGTTCGGAGAAAATATCAGGAGATCGCAATTGGGTAGTGAGACAACTATCAATCCTCTCAATAGTTCATTGACAAGAAATACTTATTTAAAAAAGCAAGTCCACTTTTTTGTAGAGCAAAAAATGTCTGTATCAAATGAATCCCAGAATGTTACCCTTGAACAATAAAGGAAAATCAAACTATCCCAGTATTTATAGACCGTCCGTTAAAAAAGTCATGTCTCCAGAATGGTATGTGTTAGGGAGCTACGAGTCCTTCCAGATCCGGACCTGGATCCAAAGTTGTATTGATTTTGTCGGGTTTAGATCCAACCTTTTTTTTTTTTGTCTGGCCTGGTTATATATCATTGTAGATTCGCTGCTCCTCAGATGAGAAATACAGCAACAAGATATAACTGTACATGGAGTTTTTTTGTCTAAGAGTAGCGAATAAATAGCTAAAATCTTGATCCTTTACTTGTTCATGTATACGAAGGATGGAAAAAACGTCGGGTTTTTTTTTTTTAAATATTGTTTTTATGTCAAACCGCGCACGAAGTTGATCGAGATAAACATGAAGAATTAAAGCTGTTAATATTTTAACATCAGTTGACATTAGATAATTTCGTTTTCTAAGATTTTCATATTTTTATGTGGAAATAAAAAAAAAGAAATATTTAAGTCGGTAATTTGTCAATAATTTATGCTTTCATCATGCCATATATTTTAAGATAAAAGCAATCAACAATTGCCTTATATATAATTGAAGAATCGATATTTTCAGACATAAGATTATTTTTTTAATTTATTTTAAATTTAGCATAATATATGGAAAACACCTGATCAAGATCCAGCTGTTTGGTCATCATCTGCTCTTTCTATAATGATAAAAGCACTTCATATTCGTTATACACTTCTTCCATATTATTATACATTATTTTATAAGGCTCATACAACCGGTTCAACTGTAATTCGACCTCTATTTCATGAATATCCTAAAGATAGAATAGCACTTGATATTTACCTTCAATTTCTTATAGGAGCTAATATAATGATAGCTCCCGTTACTGATGAAGATGCACGACAAGTTCAAGTTTATATTCCTTCAACTGAATGGTATAATTATGAAACAGGTGATCAATATCTTTATCCAAAACAATTTATTAATATTTCAGCACCATTAGATACAATTCCGATATTATTAAGAAGTGGATCAATTATTCCTACACAAGAATATGCAAATAATACAAAATATTCACGGTAAAATATTAAATATTATTTTTTTTTTTTTTTTTGAATAGTATTTTTTTAATAGAGAAAATCCATTTGGTTTAATAATTATTTTAAATAAAACTGGTGATGCTGAAGGTGATTTATTTTATGATGATGGTGAATCAATTGATACAATTAAAACAAAATCATATTATTATGCAAAATTTAAATGGTCATCACTAGATCAACAATTAACAATAAATATTATTGAAAATAATTATTCTCATATGTCAAATTTAACTTTAGATAAAATAACTATTTATGGATTACAAAATATGCCATCAACAATCAATATTAATAATAAACAATTTTATCCTAAAACTCGATCATCTACACAAATTGTTGATTTTACAGGTTTTGCATTATCAATGAATAAAAATTATACATTAACATGGTCAAATACAGAATCAATAATTATTGAAATACCAAAAAGTGTTTCAACAGATCCAAAACATCGTGTAAATTGTTTTCCTGATCCAGGTAAAAAAGAAAAAAAAAAATTTTTGTTTTCTTTCGTTTTTTCCTCACCTTTAAATTATATTTTGTTTAGATCTAACAAGTTATGCTTGTTTCGCTCGTGGATGTAATTACGATGGAATAACAAATGTAGATCATCCATCTTGTTATGTTCCTATTGAAAAAGGTGGTTATAATATAAATTCAACAGCAGAACAAATATCAGATGCTATTATACAATATAATCTTACACGTCATTCTGTAAAACCTAATCTTGCTCCATCGAAACAGCCAAGTGTACGTTATCGTTATTATCGTCGTCTACGTCCATCAAATGTTAAAGAATTAGTTACAACAGAAGCGAATGAATTTTCAATGTATGGTCATGATAGTGATCATTTAAATGTACAAATTAGTGTTTCAGGTACAGATATGATACGATTAACAATTCGAGATGCAGAAAAAGATCGATATGAAGTTCCTGTACCTATTAAATGGCGACCAACTCCAGTATCTTCATCAGATAAAGCAAAAATTCAATTTGAAATGACAGAAACATCATTTGAACAAGCAGGTTTTCGTGTTAGACGTACAGATACTCAAACTATTATATTTGATACATCATATTTTGCTCATGGATTTGTTTATGATAATCAATTTATTCAATTTATAACAACTATTCCATCAACAAATGTTTATGGTAAAATTATAATTGATTAGAGATTGATCAACTCACAGTTCAAAGTTTAGATCAAATGAGCGAACAAACTGTTTGAACTGAACTGAACTGTCTGAAAAATTTTATTCCATTTTGAGATCGATATTTTAGTAACAGAACAATACTTTTTATATTCAGAAGTGCTTTTCTCACAAAAATCGAACAAAAATTGCTCGGACAGATTAGTTCCTATGAAAAGAACTTTTTTGAACAGTTCTCGCGATCTAAACTGAATTTGTCGAACTCTACAATCGACGTTCATCTACTGTTGATAATGAAGACTTGAAAATTTGTATATAAATACTTCTTATTCGCTTCGATTTCTGAAGGATGATATCTCTATTAATCTTAATGTAGAATATACAATAATTTTTTTTTTTTAGTTTTATAGTTCTAATTTCATTTCCAATAGCAACGAATTGTTCTTATAGTACATGTAAATTCTTTATAAATTATGTAAAAGTCGATGATCATATGAATATTTCTTTATTTACATGTATTATATATTCGAATCGTATGAAATTTTCCGGATGTATTAGAATTGTAGTGGAAAGGTTATGTTAAAATTTTCAATCTTATATCATGCAGTTTTCAGGAGATATTCAACAAACAAGGGTCAAAAATAGCTCATTTGGCAATCTGAAATTCTCTGCGGGCCTTCATTCTATAGACTTGTTTGTTTTCTTTCTTGAAAGAATGATGTCAGAATGCAGGACATGACAAAGCCATTTTTTTGTTTAAATCCTTACTTTTTAAGGATTGAACATTACAGATTATTCAAATATCTACTTTATTTACTAAAAAGTTTCTTTCTGAACTTCGAATGACTCTCAATGTTTTTCTTGAAGTCAAATAAGTATCATGCAATGGAATCTTTTTATTCTTAAACAATTTTATATGAGATAATGTTAGCAATCTAATGTACGATGTAACTTAGCAGTTATGTAGTACGAGTGAAATGAAAATTTCATTTGACAACTACAACATATTTTTTTTTGTTTGAAAGGTTTTGGCGAAAATACTCATCTGTCATTTCGACATATATTAAGAAATTCTTCTCGTTATGGAATATTTGCTCGTGATCAACCACCATTGGGACAAAATGAAAATTTATATGGTACACATCCATTTTATATGGCAATTGAACGTGATGGACAAGCATTTGGTGTACTTATACTTAATTCAAATGCACAAGATTATAAATTAGATGAATTTGAAAATGATCAATCATTACTTACATATCGAACAATTGGAGGAATATTAGATATATTCTTTTTTGCTGGACCACGTCCTGAAGATGTAATTCGACAATATCAATTAGTTATTGGTTATCCTTATATGCCACCTTATTGGGCATTAGGTTTTCAACTTTGTCGATATGGTTATGATACACTTGAAAATATGAAAGCAGCTATGAAAAGAACTTTAGATGGAAAAATTCCAGTTGATATTTTGTAAGGAAAATTTATTTAGTTTTTGTTTTTTTATCAAATTCTTTTTTGTTTTGTTTAGGTATGGTGATATTGATTATTTTCGACAACAACTTGATTTCACTTGGGATCCATTACGTTTTAAAGGTTTACCTGAATATATTGATTGGTTACATCAACAAGGAATGAAATTTATAACAATACTTGATCCAGCTATCGATTCTGAAGAACCAAAATATGATGTTTTTACTGAAGGACAAAAAACAGATATTTGGATTAAATGGCCAGAAAGAAAAAATCCTCAAGTCAACGAAACTCATAATAGAAATATGCTTGGATATGTTTGGCCATATGGTTTGTTTAGAATGTGTAGAATCTCTTTTTATAATTCTCTTTCTTTTATTTTAGGTAAAACAGTATTTCCCGATTATTTGTATCCACCAGCTAAAGATTGGTGGAAAACTCAAATAATAAAGTATCATAAAAAAATAAAATTTGATGGTCTATGGATTGATATGAAGTAAGTTTTTAACAGTTTTTTTTTTTTTATTAAATAATTCAATTTGATTCATTAATTCTTGAATTGATAATAACTATGACAAAGAAAAGGTGAATACAACAGTTATTTAAATGTGAAATATTAATAATATTAAACAGTTAATATGTATAGATGTAAAACGATAATTAAGCTATATCAGTTAGAGAACTGCAGAAAATATTTATCTTGATTATAGTTTTGTAAACGAGACTGTATGTGTCAAGACGATTTTTGAATATATAACGATATATACGTTAAGAATCCTTTAGAATTTGACCGTCATCTTTAAATTGAAAAGCTACCTACATCATTTGGTAAAGCAGTTTCCAGCATATCCAATGATATGTAGGAAATAGCATTTTCACCAAGCTTTGATATTACGAGACTCCATATACTGCCTGATGGATACTATACAATGTTATGGTACTTGTGAAGGCTGTGATATCAGCATATCTATAAATCAACTTATACAAAGTTCTTTCTAAAAGTCAATTCTATAAAGGCTTAGCTGCTACTGAATATTGTATATTTGATAACTCACCACATTGCTTCCTTCATACCCAACACAGACAACTTTAGTCATCTTCTCTGAAATTTTAGTTTAGGAACGCTTCAGTATACACGATGTTGTGGCTCAGAACATGATATAACCAACGTGCAACTCTTCGAGAAATTGTGCATCATCCAGTTCTACGACTTCTGAATTTTACTGGTTCCTAAATTGAAGGATTTCATGTTCGAACTGCTATATAACTCCCCAGAAAAGACCTATTTTACGTTCTTGTAGCAACATAACGGTATCCCAGTTTTCTGTTATTCACCATTTCGCTAAGGAAATTTTCACCACCAAGTAATGATCATCCATATCTTCTGCATTGTATATAACTGTATACCATAATCGTAATGGCTGCTTAAAAAGCTAAAATTGCAAGAAACATAGGAGATCAGAAGACACTTGTATGAATCAGTTGCCGTATCCTCGTCTAGGAGTCTGAATTCCAAAAGTTTTTTTGGCATTTTCAAAGGACCAATATGTGCCAATCAATAGAACACCATATGCTGCTTTTTACCTAGTAAAAATTTCCTTAGAAAAACGATGAATACTAGAAAACTGAGGTAGTGTTATATTGCAAAAAGAACGTAGAACAAGTCTCTTTTTTTGTGGGCAGTGATGCAGCGATTTGACTACGAGGCTCTTCAATTCAAGTAACAGTAAAATTCAAAAGTTGTAGAACTGACTGATGCACAATCTCTCGGAAAGTTGTACGTTGGGTAACATCATGTTCAAAGCGAAAACGTCGTGTACACGGAAGCATTCCTAAATCGAAATTTCAGAGAAGATGATTAAAGTGGTTCGTGTTGGATACGAAAGAAGCAATTAGATAAGTTATCAAATATACAAGATTCAACAGCAATTAACTCTCTGTAGAAATTACTTTTAGCAAGAACTTTGCATAAATTGATTTTCGGATATGTTGGTGTCACAACCTTCACAAGTACCATAAGATTGTATAGTATCCATCGATCAGTGCAATGATCTCATTACATCAAAGCTTTGTAAAATTACAATTGTTCTACATACCATTGGACGCGTCGCGAACTGTTATACAAAATGATATAGGTAGCTTTTAAATCTATGATTTTCTAATTGAATTATCTCTCATGATATACAATAGAATATAGTCGTTTTCTCTAAATCTCAATCAATTTCGTTCTACATTAGAAATAACAATTTTGCAGTACTTCTTGTAATTTAAAGAAGTCATAACCTAAATTGAAAGTCACTGAGATAGCTTTCGATCATCTTCCATTATAGACAATTGTATTCAACGAGTTTTGTTTTAATATAAATCGAAAATCAACACATTTCATTGAATTTTATTTTTATTTTGATAATAATAAAAAAAATATTTTAGTGAACCAGCAAATTTTGATACAAATAAATTACAACCATGGAATTGGCCACATGCAGAACCTTGGAATCTTCATTGTCCTATGGAAGAAGCATTAGAAAGTCCTCGATATAAAACAGCTATACATGGTGAATATTTATCTGACAAAACTCTTTGTATGATTGCTGAACAAAAAGATGGTCAAGGAAAAATTTATAATCATTATGATGTACATAATCTATATGGATGGTCAGAAACATTACCAACATTAGATGCTCTACGAGCTTTAGGAAAAAAACGATCAATTGTAATAAGTCGATCAACATTTCCAACATCTGGTGCATATTCTGGTCATTGGTTAGGTGATAATACAGCTGCATGGCCACATCTTAAATATAATATAATTGGAATGCTTGAATTTAATTTATTTGGTATTCCATATGTAGGTGCTGATATTTGTGGATTTTTTGAAAATCGAACAGAACAAATGTGTCAACGATGGATGCAATTAGGTGCATTTAATCCATTTTTTCGTAATCATAATGCAATAAGATTTATTGATCAAGATCCTGGAAGTTTTTCTTCAAATATTGTTGATTCAAATCGTCGTGTTGTTGAAATACGTTATACATTAATTCCATATTTATATACACTTTTTCATCGTGTTCATATTACAGGTGGTACTGTTGTTCGTTCAATGGCACATGAATTTCCAACTGATTCAATATGTTGGTCAATTGATGAACAATTTTTATGGGGTTCTTATTTATTAATAGCTCCTGTTATTTATGAAAATCATACAACAAAAGATGTTTATTTACCATCATCAAATGAACGATGGTTTAATTATTATACAGGTGAAGAACAATTAAAACTTGGATATATTAATGTTTCAGCTGATTATGATTATTTACCATTATTTTTACGTGGTGGAGCAATTTTACCACGTCAACAATCAGCTATGAATACAGTTAAATCACGATTAAATCCAATGAATTTAATTATTGCACTTGATAAACAAGAAAAAGCTCAAGGAAATTTATTTTGGGATGATGGAGAAACAGTTAATACATATCAAACATCAAAATATAATTATTTTAATTTTAATTATGATAAACAACGTTTAATAATTGAACCATGGACATATAAATATAAAAAAATGGATGATCGTATTAAATTAGATAATATTACAATTTATGGTTTAAAAAATCAACCAAAACAAATTCAATGGAATGAACAAGAATTATCAAATATTCAATGGACATTTAATTCAACATTAAATATTTTTCAAATGAAAGAATTAGCTTTAAATTTATCGCAAACACATAAATTTATTATTTCTTAATCATATTTCTTTTTATTTATTGAATAATAATAAACTAGCTTTCTTTTTTATTTATAAATGTAATTTTATTTCATCATAAAATTTAAAATGATTGAAAATCATTAGAAATAAAACTCATTTATTCTTTCGATATTCGCAATATAATATTTATTGTATTATTTCAATAACATAGCACTTAATTCAGAGGTTTTAATAGGCTGGGTTGGGCTAATTTAATATTACAATAGACTGAATCTTGAACAAAATATAAAACTTTCAAAAGTTGTTGAGTATTGCCACTAAATTATGTTTCGAAAATCTAATGTAATTCTTCTATTGGCTAAAACATTTCTATCATGAATAGCAAAATAAAGAATAAGATAAAATTGTCGTTACATTAAAAAATTTTCTTTATATTAAAGAAAATGCCCTTGTCTAGCTTTTCTTATTCATCATCAATTATTCTTAAGAATTTTTCTTTTGCAATAATAATCATCGACATTTACTATTATTAAAATTGAAAAAAAGTAAAATATGTCTTTGTATTGAAAAGTTTTTGATTTTTCAACTGATAAGTTAGATAATACTGACGAATTCGAGAGAATTGAAGATTTTGCATGTTGTCAAATATTTTATCAAACATTTGCTTGTACATCAATTATTCGTACTCGATATGCTTGCTCATTCAAGCGTTAAAAATTTATTCAATGCAATTAGATAAACGGCT